AGCCATCAGTATGATCTAGCCCACAGAAAACACTAAAAATATATTAACATTTATTAATTATTTCAAGTAATTTATTCTTCTTACCCATAATTCTTAATTACAATAATTCTTCACATAGAAGGGGAAATACTCAGCTTTTTTGAAAGGAGTAATTCTGGGGAATACCCAGTGGTATATGGCAAGTATCTTTAGATCTTCATCTTCCAGTCCCTCATTTTGGTATTTACATTTACTGTGTAAGTTAAAACTCAATGAAAAGAAAAGAATATTTCACTTACTAACTATGCTTAGATTAGAAAGTTTTTTGCTTAAGCTGTTGAGAGAGAGAATTTTTAAGGTGGGTAATTATACACTTTAATGACTGAGTTATATTTTTTTCCATATGTTTATATTTCAAATATAGTTTAAAAAAAAACTTAGTAGACATACATAATTACACTGTGATATGTGTTAGAACAAATACTGTGATATAAATATTTTAAAATTATATTACAAAATTAAGCAGATTATTTATCAATAACCAAGAACCTCCCCAATTAAATTATTATAAACCACCACAGTAAAACCACTTCTAATCCAGAAAATAGAAAATAAGGGAAATGGAAGATGTATAATAAACATTTGGGAAATATGGAATTTGTCCCATGAGTGTCGTAAAGAGCTCATAATTTACGAATGTCAAAGCCCAAGTGTGCTATGAGGGTCTTTCTTCAAAAGTGACATTAATTGCATATCCCACAGATGCTTATTATGTATTCTATTTATATCAAAGTATAAAATGTAGTTCAAAATATACAGATTCAATATATTTAAGGTGATAACAAAGCAGTTACTCTGGCCTGACAAAAAAATGTTATTTTTAAACTTCAATTTTTGGTCTCTTTAGAAATAGTATTAAGTGAAAACAGTATTGAAGCTTTATATTGAAAATGCTATGATTGAGACTCTTTTGAATTCACACCAAGTATGTACTCACGGATGGAACTGTAACACATAGATTTTAGAGGCTTTTGCACAAAAATAATTCCAAACTGATGAAGTCAAAGGCAATTCTTATTCTCACAGTAAAAACAAAGATTAAAAAAAAACCAACTCTTAAAAATTACCTAGAAAAGATGGCAATAATGTACTCAATGTTTTATTTTGGAAACTGGTCAATGTGCACTGATAGCCCCCACAGAACTTAAGGTAAATGAAAAATACAGTGTAAATTATATTTTGGAAATATTTTTTTTACTATCACAAAGAAGTGAACATTTAATTTCAAAATAACTTTGTTTAACCTAAATAGTAAGTTGACTTAACATTTACTAACCAGAAAAACCAGCTACTATTATCCAGGGGTTGAAGCACTTACACACATAAAATAATAGCATTAATAAGCAAGTTATTGTATAATATTCAAGATCATGGGTACTTATTCTGATATTTTAAGATAAATATCATCAATGTATTTAAAATTAAGATAAGCTAATTTGGAATAGCTTTAACCAATGCTCGTACAATTAATATTTTTAACTGTTTATTAATTCTAATTTTGTTAAATTTATTGACAAAATGCAACAAATAAGATAACATATGGCACATCTGCCACATCAGGAGACTTTCACATATATTCTTACAAAAGTAGCGCTTTTTTTTTTGTAAAAATGGACTAAATTGTAAAACTTTTTTCTAAATGGTAATTATGATCACATTAGAAAGCAGATTTCAATAAATTTTAATGTACCACGCAACTGCTAAAGACTGACTGAAATTAGAAACCCAGACTCAATATGAATATAATTTCATTTTGCTAACACATTTCCTACCATGTAAACACTTATTTATGATTTAATCCCCTTTCTATACAAATTTTTGGTATTGATAATATTTTTCCATTGATGCATTCATTGACATTTTTATCAATTTTGTTAGAACATTTTAGTATATAAGGAAATATTTTTGTTTTAAAATTAAAATTCTATAAAAACAGTTGGCATGCAAAAGCACATTTTATTTTCTATTTACTGAATTTACTGGGGTGACATTGGTCAATAAAATTATAAAGGCTTCAGGTGTACAATTCTATAATACATCATCTGTATATTGTATTGTTTGTTCATCATCACAAGTAAACTCTCCTTTCATCACTGTTTATCTCCCTATACTCTCTTCTACCCCTCCCCCCACCCCCTTTCCCTCTCCTCTGGTAATCACCATACTGTTGTTGTCTATATGGGTGAGTTTTTTGTTTTTGCTTAATTCCTTCACCTAGATAATACATTTATGGATTCTTATGTCACACTGAGGAAGAGTAGGTTTTATTAACTGAAAATTGATTACTTTAGATTTGTCCACTTGATAATTTACTCAAACTGTAATTAATTATTTTTAAGTATTAATATCAAATATGAGCCTAAATTATCAGCTTTCTTCCAACAGGAAGATAGCAGCATGAATAATTATTTAGATTAACATTACTTGTATGATATAGAATAAAACAAAATATTTCAATTCATTCCCATGAGATACAAACCTACAATATTTATTGGGTTCACAGACATAAAGTAATTGTGCCAAATTGCTATGATTTGTTTCTAAAAGTTTACTCTCAACTTCTCTATACTATCTCTGCAGAAGCACTGGTCTGAAGGATAGCTCTTATGTTTCCATTTAAAAGAGGCCCATCTGCTTTAGTGAAGAACAGAGAGAAAGCCAAAGCCCGAGCAAGGCATTCATGACTCACAGGTCATCACATCAACAGAGCCATGACATCTTAAGTAATGATAACAAAAGCATTGCCAAACATATATTTAATGTTTATTACATACTGAGCATTATGATTTTTGTCCATTACGATTCAATTCTCATAGGCACCCTATGAAATAGATATCATTATTTTTAATCTCCATTTTACAAATGAAGAAAACAAGGCTCAAAGTGGGTAAACAGGTCTATTTTATTTCAAAGCTTGTGCTTCTAACTGCTATTCTGTACAGTACTAATATTATTCTTTGGCCCCAAGGATTAAGGATTATAACAATCATCAATAGGAAATATACAGATGAATAGTATAACTTAAGGTGGCATAAAGAAATAGGAAAATAAAAATCTCATTGGCCTTTCATGTGCCCCACAAATGTAAGTAATAAAATCAAATTTAGTAAGTGAAATAAGTAAATAAAATCTTTGTGCTATACAATGTAGTACAGACCAATTAAGAGATTGAGTGACTTCTTCAAAGATAAAAAAAAATATAAAAGACATTTTTTTAGATAATGCAGATGAGATCTTATACAAAAATACTGGGATAAATAAGTCAGCTATGGTTACTGCAAGCCCTGGTATTGTTAGTACCACTAAAAACCAAAGTTGAAAGGATCACGGAATTTTTACTAGAAAGGTACTGGTTGGATGTCAGAGAAGCTCTATGAGTCACTATGAGGAAGAGAAAGCTGATGGAAACTAACATCTGAAAAAGAAACTGGAACACAATGGTTATAAATCATTGTACCCACGTCCATTCCACCACCATTGCAATGTAAAGCACTAGCTCAAACTAAAAGGTAACAGACACTAAAGCATTTCAAAGACGTGCTAAACACGTCTAATGTTAATTTCTTTGCCCAATATTTAAGATAAATTTCTAGACTTCAGCAAACAATTTTTGAGGGTGTAAAGTGGGCTTCAGTATTTGAATAAACCAACTTTTTGAGTGTGCCCTAATCTTACCACTAGCTATTTTAAAATAAACCTGTGTGTCTATAAACACACAAATATTAGCTAGATTTATATGTATAAATAACAATTCATTAATAACCTGCAGTTCTGCCAAAGACCCATATTACCCACAACTTTCTTCTTTTGAATGGGAATGACGGAGCCACTCTCAATGATGAAGTCAAGCTTAAGTCACAGAAATGAAAGCAAGCATCATTGAAAACAGGAAAGCAGATGTCTTCAGTTATAGTTTAGGAGTTCCAAAGAAAGACAGCTGAATTATTATTAGTGAAAGAGTCTGTGTAACAGAACATAAAGAAAACACTCATTGGTATTCTTTACTTTAGACTAAATAAATTGGTCCTAAACCTTTGACTTGTTTGAGATTCTTTGTAACTCAAATAATGAATTCATATTTACTGAGCATCTATTATTTACATCTCGATAATATCTTTTCAATTTTCCATGTTCGACCTAATTGAGAAATGGAATTTGCAGGAAATATCTACCAAGGAACTGCCTAACAGTTCATAGATATATACGTTCTAGTGTTTCAATATAAAAGATCCTTTTGTTGTCTGTAGTACTAATTCATATTTATGAAAACTGCTATCTCTGTAATCTTCTTACTTACCTTATAAGCTATTGAATGAATACATACAAATATACACACACATCCAAGGAGTAAATGCTTCCCTATTTTTCTGCTATAGCAAGTTGCAGGGTTATGTGGCTGAAGATTAAGATATTATGTTCACTGTGAGGGACATTGATCTTACTTTTCAAAATGCACTTCTAAGGTTAGAACAGAAGACCACACAATAAAATGGAAAGATTATAGGATTGTTCAGGTTCAGGGCTGGCTCCACATGTGTATCACCTGTGTGGCCCCATACTTCTTAAAATGCTTGGTTTAATGATCTGCTGCTGTTACCATCTTAAAATTCTTATTAATTTATTTAAAGAGGCCATCCACTTTTATTTTGCACTAAACTCTGCAGATTATGGAGCCAATCCTGCTTGGATTTGAATTATAACTTCACTATGTAATAGGTGCAAACCTTAGTTTCTTCCTCTGTAACAAAAGAGTGACGCTCAATTAACAGGGTTGCTGGAAGTATTAGATGAAATATCATATGTGAAAGCTATGAGCACAGAGCCTGGCACACAGGACAGAAGAGAGATCCAAAATGAAATGGAGCTGAAACAGTTCTTGCTCTTACTCCTATAAATCTACACATACAAAAATCATCATAAACCATATTAGGTAAAGCTGAAATTTAAACTTTAATACTTACAACCCATATATCTGTGGTGCAATTTCTAGTCTGTTCAAGTGCATGTAAAGCTCAATATCATGCTTCTTCAGAAGATGATCCTGGATCTGATTGACTTTAGTAACAATAGCAATCGTTGGCCCTAAGTCCTGTGGTCGAGCAAAGGGGATGGGAGTCAACAGTGTTTCTTTCCCCTAAAAACAGGAAAAATGGAACATGTGTTATATTTCAATATAAAATTAACATATAAAAGGACATAATTCCTGAATACATTTATCAATGGGAGTTTAAATAAGAACTAGTTTAAATAACAACTAATAATCACCTTATGGCAAATGTTCAGACAGGGTTTCTAACAACCACATGGAAAACAACTAGCCTTCTTCTAAGGGTTTGAATACACATACTTCCATAGAGATACAATCACTAGCTTCAGAGAGAAGTATCCTAAATTAACCTGTTTAAAAATGTTTAACTTAATGAAATCATATAATCTATTTCTAGTTTGAATAGAATATATTGTCATTAAATCTATAGCATATGTATATAGTCCATTTATAAAAAGCTTAATAGAGACTCATCTGTAGTCTAGAAATCCTGATGACTTCTTATCATATAAAGAATGTGTTTGCATTTAACAAATATAATGATCAAACGGGACAGCCACAACGACCAATACAACTAGAAAAATTTTCTAACCATTTATTAAGCAGTAAATGTGTTCTGCAGAGCAGAGCCAGTCTACAAACTGTTATGAAAATGCAATGAGATAATGACTTTATGCTACTATGTAAACCAATGCACTGCTTTCTTCAAGAAAATCTTATGAAAAGTTATGTCTCCTGAAATAGGCAGCATGTGATATAATCAGATTTTCAAAGGAACTAGAAGAGCTGAATAAGAAAGTGGTATATTAATTTATCAAACTTCTTTTTAAAAAGGTGAACCAGAAAATAGAATAAAAAGGGGAGGATGAAATAGGGATTCATTAGACATGCTTTTCAGGAATATTTTATTCACTGATATATGCAAGTAATTCATAGGAATGTTCAAATGTTTAGAGGTCACAACATCTATGTGTTCATTGATAAAATGAATGCCTTTCTTTGTGTTATCTTAGCCATTTCATGAACTTGACTTGGTGATATCAACATGAGTAGGTAAAACTAAAAAATGGGAACTCTCACATTTTTATCAGTTTCTCAGACATGGTGAATCAGTTATAAAATACAAAATGATCACCGCATAAAATAATCATGATGCCTACTTTAAATATATTCAAATACTCTCTGCTCAAAATTCTGATATTCACATAAGTCTATGACTTCATCAAATCACTTGCCAAGAATATAAAGTTATTGTTCCAAAGCGTATGTAGTTCATCATATAGTGACAGCAAGTTTCTGCTCTAATAACCCTTATAGAAGGTAACATGTTCATATTCTGCTGAAGAAAGACTTTATCATCGAGGCTAGGGGTTGACAAACTTTCTCTGTAAAGAGCCAGACAGTAAATATTTCAGGCTTGACAGGTCATACAGTCTGTGTTGTAACAATTCAACTCTGCTATGGTAATGAGCAATTGGCCACAGACAATAAGTAAACAGATAAACATGGCTGTATTCCAATAAAACTTCTTCTATGGGCATAGAAATTGAATTCCATATTATTTTCATATGTCACAAAATATTAATTTTCTTTTCATATTTTTTCTTTTCATATTTTTTCAACCATTTAATAAGTGAAAGCCATTTTAAGTCACAAGCTTCACAAAAACAGATGGCAGGCCAAATTGGCTTGCAGGCAGTAGTTTGCCCTGACCTAAACCAAAGGCACAAAAAGCATTAGTTCTCAGTTCATTTTCTGAGATGGAATGAAGTGACTAATACATGCTTTCTAACCAGAATGTAATAAATTACACCAATATAAAATAAATTTGTTGTATAGAAAATAATATGCCACAAACTCTTAGCATACCATGTCAGAATAATTTATAATATCTCCAATATGGCATAATAAAAATAAAAATACCATAGTGACCTCTAAGTAAGCATATGTTTGTTTACAATGACAGATAATTTAGTAATTTCACTCCTAGAGATAGGCCAAAAGAACTAAAAATATATGTTTACACAAAAGTTTGTACATAATGTGCACAGCAAGCAAAAACTGAAACAAACCCAAGTGTCTATCAACTGATTTATGTAAACTAAATGTGGTATATACACACAATGAAATATTATTCAGCCATGAAAAATAAATAGGTACTGATGCATGCTACAACATGAATGAACTTTGAAAACATTATGCTAAATGAAAGGAGTCAGTCATAAAAAGGCCACATAATCTATAATGCCACATATATGGAATGTCTAGAATAGGCAAGTAGAAATACAAAGTAGATTAGTAATAGCAGAGACTGTGGAGGAGGGAATGGGAAGTGACTGCTACTGTGTATGGGATCTCCTTTTGGGGCAGTGAAAATGTTTTGAAATTAGATGTAAGGATATTTCCACAACCTTGGGAATATACTAAAACCCACTAAATTGTACATTAAAAAGGTGAACATTATAACTAAAATATAAGGGTAAGAGAGTAAGAAAAAATGATTTGATGCTAAATGGGTAAATTCAATAGTGATGCATTACTAAAAGTAAAACAACCTATTTGTTACAAAGTTTACGTACTTTAGTTAATAATGTATCTATCAACTCACTAGGATAGCAAAAGACCAAACAGATAAATGCACTTATCACTAAAAATTTATAATAAATTTAGCCCTGGCCGCTTTGGCTCAGCGGTTAGAGCGTTGGCCTGCGGTCCAGAGAGACCCGGGTTCGGTTCCCGTTAAGGGCACGTACCTGGGTTGCAGTTTGTCCCCCTCCCACTCTATCTGAACAAAATATCGAAAAAAAAATTTTATAATAATTTTAAAGAAGTTATATTGCATTTTATACACATGTATGAAAGAAGTTTCCATTTATTTATACAAAAATGTTATATTACTTTTGTATATGTCTGCCAATGTTATCAGAGATATGGTTTAAATCCCAGTTCAATCTTATTCCACAAGTGTTTTTATATTTTCTTTTTTTATAGTAAAAAATCTTGGCTTTTATTCTCTGATTATATGTCGTTACTTACTGAAATTATTTGTCCCTTCAAATATAATGAAAGATCTGTACTACATGATTTACCTTTTGACTATCATGCTCGAAAGTAGAAAACCAAGGTTCAGCAGTTTCCATAAGTTGCGAGAACATGGCACTAAAATTTAGAAAAATAATATAATGCTGTTAAACCTTCATTCAAGTAAATATGGTATAAAAAATAAAAATAACAGAAGAAAGTGTTGTACTTACTAGGCATCATGTTCCAGATACTCAGGGTTCAAGAGAGTTTTCATTTCCTCACTTAAAAAAGAAATACATGCAATCAAAATGTGTAATTTTTTAATGGAAGGAGATGCAGAAGTTACCTTACTCTATACTTATAAGCCAAATTCCATATTATGTACAAATAAAAAAAAAAGTATCATTTTTTAAAATAAAAAAGAGCAACTTCATTAACAAATGAAATGCTTTCTTTCTATAAATATCAAAAACAAATTAGCTGCCTTGTCTGTACCACAATGAGGTAACTATTTAATTATTCCAAATAATAAATACAAATATGACAATATATTCCTTGAATGTGCCTGATCTAGAATAAATTGATTACTCCAAAATCTACTGCTTATTGTCCAAAACAAAACAAAAAATATATATAGTTACTGGTCAAATATACCATATTAAAATATTAACGTATTTTCTTTTCATGGCTTCTATTTTATGATATTTTAACATCAATCATTGACAACACCTCTTCCAAATCTATTTTAGTGATGCTTTTATATTTTAGTGAATTGAAATAGCTAGAGAAGTATGTCCAACTCATTTAAAGCTTTTTTCAATCATCTATACTTTCCTTTGAAGTATATTCCATATACATGTTTTAAAAGGGTAAAAGTGACATGAAAACAGGAACCCAATACTAACTAAGTTATTCTTTAGAATAACTAGACAAAAGGCAATTAAGATATGGTTACTATAGACAGATCCTATAAACTCAGTATAATTAAAAAAAACTCAAAAGGATCTAGAAAATACTAATGTGTAATATAGTAAACAAAGGTTAATTTAACAAAGGCCCTAGTATATGTTCAGCAAAATGGATGACTATGTTTGATTAATAAAGATACTGTGTTTATTTTCTCTTTTCTATATACAGGTGGGATAGTCTGTAGAATACTCCTGACAGTTTTATAATCCTTTGCTCTTTAGTCCCAAGATGCTTCCTGGCTGCCTCTCTGGCTCATCAGTTAGGGTATCTTAAGCTAGAAAACACAGTCTAACAATTAGCTTAAACTGAATGCAATTAGCATGCTGGAAAGAATAAAGTAATGGATCTTAAAAACATAAAAAGTCATTTTTGTTTAGCTATAGACTTTGTGGTACTGCTCTATTACGAACTGAACTGAATCAAACCTGGAGCAAGTATCTTTACACATAAGGTTCCCAACTCAACTTGTAGTAAAAGAATGGGACATTAGAAGATAGTATATATGAATACTATCAATTTTTAGCACTTTTGCCATTACAACAAAATTTCTTCTTCTTGATCCATTAATTATGTCTTCCTTTGGTATACATTTAAGATTTAAAAAGATATATTTATGTTTCCAAATTTGCCCATAGTTGAACAGGGATTACAACTATGAAGTGGAATTAACAATCAGTCACATAAAACATGTTTATAGTTTACAAAAGTATCTTTAATTTACAAGATTTTGAGTCAAAAAAATATTACAGCGAGCTTGAAACCCAGATGGAGCTTATGTAAAAACTTGCCTTGGTTGAGCAGACTCACTGGCGTGAAGAAAAGCTTGGTGGTCACAGTGGAGGATAAAGACTATAGGTGCTAACAGCTCGTGCATGCCCTGAAACATAAGAGCAAGAGAAACAAAATGGTTGGATGTTTAGAGTCCACCACTGGACAGAATCAGCCCAGTTAAATGCTTTGTCAACTGGTCCCTGTCACCAACATTTCCATAATCACATAGAAAAGCAAAAAAATAAAAAATAAAAATAAAAAGTTACAAGATGAGAGAGATTTTATTTACTTTTAGATTTTGGTTCCAATTCAACCACAGCACATATTCTGCTTTAAAACATGGAGAGCAGTTCTCTTTTAAATGCCACAACAAACAATAAATTGGCATGGTAGACAACCTTGCACCTGTCAGTTGCTTCAAGATATGTACTCATAAATATGAATTTCATCTATGCAAATTATAATCATGAGCTACAGTATAAAGATCTGCGGTAAGAAGGGCAACTAGAAACTGTAGACCTCAGGAAATTACAACCAATGTTTTCATTATATAATGGCTCAAAATTAGGATGCCTGTAGATTTAGGAAGAGCTGAAGTCAGCAAGCAGTAAATGTTAGATAATAAAAGAAATAACCTTTAGCAGGTATAATGGAAAATAAAGTTTTAAAATTATGATTTTCAAGTTGTTTAATCTGAAGACTACAGTAAAATTTTTCCTGTCTAATTTCAACTATAGATTACTTATCAATTTATTTATTAACTTCACCAATATGACTCTTTTTCCTTATACTGGTGTCCACCTGTGAATTATATGACTAGGCACAGACACAGAAAGATTTATTAGCTACTTAGTTGCACTTAAAAGAGTATTATAAAAATCCATTATTTATCCATTATTGTGGGGAAATAAGGTATTCCAAATCAGTGACCTTTCTTGCTAATTGAGACTTTTTTTCTGTTAAGCATAAAAGACATCAAAAAACAAAATCACTATATTTTATTATTATTACTTTTAAATATCTTCACCCAAGTATATTTTTACATTTATCTTCAGACAGAGTGGGAGAGAGGGTGAAAGAGGGAGAGAGAGAGAGAGAGAGACAGAGAGAGAGGGAGGGAGGGAGAGAGTAAGAGAGAGAGAGAAACATCAATGTGAGAGATACACATTGATTGGTTGCCACCCGCACGACCCCAACCAAGGTATGTGCCTTTGGCTGGAATCAAATCCGCAACTCCTTGGCCCATGCTCTAACCACTTAGCCAAATCGGCCAGGGCTAAAACCACCACATTTTAAAACATTTTTTTTTTTCCTTTATTGATTTTAGAGAGAGAGGAAGTGAGAGGGAGAAAGAGACAGAAACGTCAATGAGAGGGAACATCTACCGGCCGCCTCCTGCATGCTCCCCACTGGGGATTGGGCCCACAGCCTGGGCATGTGTCCTGACCAGGAATCGAGCCAGCGACCTCTTGGTGCACCGGTCAATGGTCAACCAGTGAGCCACACCGGCCGGACTAAAACCACCACATTTTAGCAAGTTAAAAATTGGTTGCCACTTTTTTGCCTCTAAAAATGAGTAAGTTACCATTTTCCTTTTGCTTAATTAACTATGGATGATCTTTTATAAAAAGGTAAGACAAAACACCACCTTTACAGGAAATTGAAATATGCAAGTAGTGAGAAGAGACTGTTTTTGCTGGTGAAATTAAAGATGACTTCCTATAATAGAAGGGTAGTTACACAGCTTTCTTGCATAGTCTAGTAATATTGTGCTATTCTTAGGAACCAAGCTGTTATCACAAAATAACATGAAAGGAAACTCTATTTGAGTTCATTATAAATTATCCCTAGCCTTGTATTAGAAGGACTTGACATTTTTACAAAATAATTTATGCTCCATTGACAATTTACTTGTGATTTAACACAAACTACCATGTCCTTAACCAAACAAACTTTGAGGAACACGGTAGGGACTCAGAAACAATGGAATAGTGTTGCTAATTATGCTTTAAAAATCATCAGGAGGCCCTGGCCGGTTTGGCTCAGCGGTTAGAGCGTCGGCCTGCGGTCCTGAGAGACCCGGGTTCGGTTCCCGCTAAGGGCGCGTACCTCGGTTGCAGTTTGTCCCCCGCCCTGGTCGGTTGTGCGGGTGGTAGCCACTCGATGTGTTCCTTTCACATCGATGTTTCTCTCTCTCTCTCTGTTCCTCTCTCTCTCTCCCTCCCACTTTACCTGAACAAAAAAATGGAACAATGTCCTCTGGTGAGGATAAAAAATAAAAATAAAAAATAAAAATCATCATGAGGATTTTATTCTCCTGGAAAAATCTCAAGTTATTCCAAAAACTAGGTACCATAATTTTAATCATCAAAGTAATAGCTACTTATTGTAGAAAACTACATGAAAAAAAAAAAGAAAAGAAAAAAAGGTGAAGAGGAAAAGATGAAGAAAGGGAAGGGAAGAAAGGAAGTAAAGAAGGAGAAGGAAAGAGGAAGAAAAAGGGAAGGACCAAAAATACAAAAGAAAGAAAAAATGAAATGAAAAACAGTGATAGATATCCTTGTTATAATTTTTTTGTGTTTTGGTCTATTTCTAATGGTTTCCTCAGGATAAAGTACCTAGAAGCAGAATATCTGTGTAAATGATTAAAGACATTGTTAAAATCTCTGATATACACAATTAAGCTACCCTTCAAAAAGAATTCCCTCACTTTTGAGCATAAAAATTACCATCTCACAAATCCTTACATTTCTACTGTTTTGTTTTTTTTTAATCCTGTCTGTGTCTATGACTTTTTGTTTTTCTTGTTTGTTCATTTGTTGCTTTCAGTTTTATATCTTACATATGAGTGAAATCATATGGTTCTTGACTTTTTCTATTTGGCTTATTTCCAGAGGGAAGGGGAGTGGGGGTAGTATAGGGTGTCAAATATGGTGATGGAAGATTTAACTTTGGGTGGTGAGCACACAATGCAATATACAGATGATGTATCATAGAATTGTACACCTATATAATCTTACCGAAACCTACATAATCTTATTAATTAATGTCAGCCCAGCAAATTTAACAAAAAAAATTTTTTAACAAAAATCCTGTCAAATTTCACAAATGGTTGTTAGGTAAGTATATAGTTTTCTTTTCTTTTTTTACAGTTAATCATTTATCTATCTAGTATTTAATTTCTCCCTGAAGAATAAATATGTATTTTTCTCTTCAAATGAGTTAAACTAATTGAGTGATCATTATTTATTGAATAACACATCTTCTCCAAAGAGTTCTGAAATATCATCTTTACATAAACTAAATATTTAGCTCTCATTTTTTTATGGGATTTTACTGTATTCCATTGATTTGAATATTCTTAGTAAGAACTTCAATGTGTACACACATACACACACAATAAAAGCTATCTCAGAAGAGATGATGAGTCTTCTCCATTTTGCTTCTTGAGCTATTTATTAGGGTCTCGGGAGCCAAGTAATAGGCGTGCTTGAAAAAAATCAAATACGTAAATACTATTTTAATTTTTTTTTTATCCTCACCTGAGGACATTTTTTCCCCCTTTTACCTTCAGATAGAGCAGGAGGGACAGAGGGAGAAAGAGAGAAACATTGATGTGAGAGAGACACATTGACTGGCTGCCACCCACACAACCCCAACAGGGGCCAGGGACAAAACTGCTACCGAGGTACATGCCCTTAGCGGGAACTGAACCCAGGACTCTCCAGTCTGCAGGCTGACACTCTGACCACTGAGCCAAACCGGCCAGGGCCTACTTTAGTTTTTAAAAAGAATTTTACTATTGTAATGACAAGCAGCACAATATTCTATTCCTCCATACTGTCTATCCTTTTTCTCAAAATTATCTTGTCTATTCTAACTTAATATTTTCATTCAAGGGAACTTCAATACATAAATGCTAAACAAAATTATGAAATTTTTATTGGCATTGAATTGAAATGAACTTGAAGAAAATGGGTGTTTTTAGAATACTAGATTTCCAATCCAAAATTTTGTAGAACTGCATAGTTTTTATTGGGTTTGTTACTAAGCTTTTATTGGTGGTGGTTCTAAATGGTTCTTTTTCCCTCAATGTGTTTTCTAACTAATTATGGCTTATTTAAAAAGAAAGATTTCTTGCTTAAATATATTTTCCCACCTTCTTCAAATGTTCTCTCTTCCCTCTAGTTTCTTTGACACTACTCTCTTCACATTCTCTATTTGTTTAAGCATCACTAGTCAAAAATTATTTATTAACTACCTGTGATGTACTGAGAAAACAAAGTAAATGAAGTGGGTAAGCTCCTAACCATTATGAAAATTGCAGTCTAGAGAGCAAGACACACAATAATAAAACGAGCAGAGAAGTGACTATAAAATTACAAATTGTAATAAGTGAGTGATATGTTTGTGTACACACACACACACACACACACACACACACAATTCCAGCTCCTTTTTATTTTTTTAAGAGAGAGGGAGAAGAGAGAGAAAGAGAAACATTGATGTGAGAGAGACACAGCGAGTGGTTGCCACTTCACACAGTCCCAACCGGGGCTGGGGACAAAATGCAACCGAGGTACGTGCCCTTAACGGGAACTGAACCCAGGACTCTCCAGTCCACAGGCTGACACTCCAACCGCTAAGCCAAACCAGCCAGGGCTCCAGCTCCTATTATAGGCTCAGCACATAAAAGGTTCTCACTATACAGTGACTTAAATAAAATATCTACCACTCAACACAGCAACACATTGGTAAAGCTGAACTACAATATAAAAAAACGGAAAATAATAACGCAATCATATTTCAATATTTCACATCAATAAATAGAGTGCTCTTTATATAACAGAAATTAAGAGTTCCCTAGCTCTGGCCAGTACGGCTCAGTTAGTTGAGTGTCATCCTATACACCAGAAGGTCACTGATTTGATTCCTGGTTAGGGCAAATGCCCAGATTTTGCATTCAGTCCTATGGGAGGCAACCGATTAATGTGTCTCTGTCTCCGTCTCTGTCTCTGTCTCTCTCTCCCCCTTCCACTCTCTCAAAAATCAATAAAAACATATATTTTTTTTAAGAATTCCCTAAATACCATTTAAGACAACTTTTTCCAAGTCAGTGTTGAATTCCAACTAAAGTAGGAATATTTTCTTATAGACTTGGAAGAGTTTGTTGGTGTTATCCTCAAATCTAGACTAGTAAAACCCAGATAATAATTTCAAGTGGCAAATATATAGATATCTTTAAAGAAAAAAAACTATCTAGACTGAATGCTGTAAATTTGACAAAGCATAATAAAAAATAATGTATTGTCAGTATACGTTTGGTTCCCAACATGTGTATTCTGCTTCCATCTACAGTGTCAGCATTTCTGTTTGCTTAAAGCCTTTATCCCTGCTGGATTGTTAGTAGTCACTGCACTCCAAACTCATGCCATTTGAAAATAAAGGTAACGAAGTTTTCTTCATCAACAGCCTGTAGGCTCACAAAATTGAACCTGTTCTTTTATCTGCCTGTGTTCATTTAGCCCACCAAGCAGTCTTTATTAAAGTTGAGGCATCAGGCAGTCAAAGTTCATTAATACCATTTATATAATCTCTGCAGTTTCAATTAACTCAGCAAGACATTCTACTACATGATAACGGTCTCATTAATTCAATAAAATCCCATAACTATTAACAATATGGTCGATGTTAAACGGGGTGTCACCTAGTACAAAATAATAGCTTTAACAGCTTGTGATGAAACTAAAGGTTTTTTCTTAAATTTGATCTGGCTAAATATTCAGTCCTTCTACAGCAAGGTTTTATTTCTGTGTAAAGAATCTATGGAATTTTAAACATGTACAGGGAGTAATTAAGTCTTATTAACTGATACCCAGGAGTAAGTTAATACTTCCTTATTCAATAATTGATAGACTTTGTCTAAATTATCAAGAACCTGATCTTCCATATTCCTCTGTCGTCTTCCTTAAAAATGCAGTGGCCCCGCACACATCAGATGATGGCGTGTGCAGTCGTTATGCTTTAGTTCCTTGTCAGTGGAACTTGTTTCCATTATTTTAAGACTTCTTTTATCTAGTTTTTTCTTTCTCTAAAGAAAAAAGGAAAACAAATGTGTATTTTGGGATAATTTTATTCCGACCTGATTTGCTATCAAGTCTTTTACTGTGGAGTATTTTTAAGTATTTGAAAGAGGAGAGGAGACAGTGAGGAGATAGGCTTCATGATAAAAGCCAACACAAAGAAGAGAGAAGAATAGAAAAACAGAAATCAACCTGGATCACTGATGGAAGAGTCTGAGCTACTTAACTAAAATGCTGCAGAACCACTCTGCCCCCAGACTTCTTGCAAAGTGTCACCATAACATCCTTAGAGTTTAAGTCATTCTGAGTGGAATTTTCTGTTATTTGCTTCCAAAAAAAATCCTATACTGGTAGAGATTTAATTTCTCCCAGTCTCCTTTTTTTTTTTGTTTATTTTTTTATTTTTAGTATTGGGACTTTGCATATGACTTCCGAATATTTTGCTTGGAAAGGCCTCTCCTACCCTCAGATTACAAAAAAAAAAAAATTCTGCTGAATTTTTTTCTAGTATAATTGTGTAATTCTTGTTTTTACATTTATATCTTTACTCCATCTGGAACTTATTCTCCAATAAAAGTGTAACTTAATCTTTTTTTTCTAGATGAAAAGCCAAATATAGCAAGTCATTAAAAATGCCCTATCTTATCATATTAAGATCACACATAAAACTGGACCTGTTCTAAGCTTGTTCCACTTGTAAATTCCCACACTATCATCACATTGGTTTGATCACAGAACATTTACAGACGTTTTCATGTCTCCCTTTTCCATTCTTCTCTTCCCCTAAATTCTGTGGCAACGCCAACCTATTTAATAATGATTAAAACAATAAGACCAATGGGTGTGGCTCAGTGGACTGAGTGTTGTCCATGGACTGAGAGGTCCCAGTTCAATTCCCAGCAGTCAGGGCACATGCCAGGGTTGTGGGCTCGATCCCCAGTAGGGGGCATAAAGAAGGCAGCTGATCAATGTTTCTCTCTCACATAGATGTTTCTATCTCTTTCTCCCTTTCTGAAAAAAAAATTATTTAAAATAATAATAACCACAACTATCAACGTGAGCCCTTAGTGAGAAATAGATGTTTTTAAACTTTACAAAGTCAATATTGCCTTCTTACAAATAAGTAAGTAAATTGCCTATATAGCTAGTAAATGGTGGAGCTGAGATTCAAATAAAGGGATGTACACCTAGAACCAGTACCCTTATCAGCTAAGCTAATATAATTAAAATTACTGTAAAGCTTTTTGGCACTAAATTGAAAAAAAAATGCGTCCAGTTTTTTAAAATCACATCTGTCACTTAAACTATAACTGAAATGAAATACATTTATACATTAATCTGGTAAAAGTAGGATTTTTATTTAATGTCTTCTCATCTAAAAACATGTTATCACTTTTCTGTTTATTCAAGTCTGGCTTTATATACTTCAATAACATTTATAGTTTTCTTCTTATAGTTTTTGTGCCTATATTATTAAATTTATTTCTAGTTATTTTACAGTTTTGGTTGGCATTATGACTGAGATATATTTTTTCCATTTCCAATTTTAAACAGTGATTTATATAATGTAATTGTATTCATGTAACTAACATGTAATTAATATAAAGACATATTACTAATATTAAAACTGAGATAAAATTAGTTCCCTTTGGTATTCTATGTATATAATAACAAATGTATTATTTCAGACAACTGCAATATGACTTGGTTTATTATCTCTAAACTGATCAAGTTTATTTCAAATTAAATACATTGCTCTCATCATGAGTATTTCGTGTTATATTACAATGAAATTAGGTGGTTGTCAATTAGACATGTCATAACTTTTGATTGTTGGATAAATTATTAATTTAGTTTGAATTCCCTCCTAATTCACATTTTGAGAAATATATAACAATATTCAACTTGATGTATTTTTTAATCCTCACCTGAGAATGTGTTTTTTTTTTATTTTATTTTTTTTATCCTCACCAGAGGACATTTTTCCATTTTTTGTTCAGACAGAGCAGGAGGGAGGGAGAGAGAGGAAGAGAGAGAGAGAGAAACATCGATGTGAAGGGACACATCGAGTGGCTGCCACCCGCACGACCAACCAGGGCCAGGGACAAACTGCAACCGAGGTACGTGCCCTTAGCGGGAACCGAACCCGGGTCTCTCTGTACCGCAGGTCGACGCTCCAACCACTGAGCCAAACCAGCCAGGGCTGAGAATGTGTTTTATTGCTTTTAGAAACATAGGAAGAGAAAGAGAAAGCGAGAGAAACATCTATGTGAGAGACAAATATTGATTGGATGCCTCCTGTACGTGCCTGACTAGGGATCAAACAGCAACCTCGGTCTGTGCTCTGACTGGGAATTGAACCCGCAACTTTTTGGTGTAGGGAACAATGCTCCAACCAATTGTGAGCCACCTGGCTAGAGCTCAACTTCATGTATTTTTATTGGAACACCATAACTTCAAGTAAAAACCTAGACACTTCTTTATATAGTAAGTAAATAATTTACATTTCAATGAAATAATCCAACAATCTTTGCCACAGTAATGGAATGAATCAAATATCAAGATCACAAAAAATATCATATAAATTTCAAAAAATTTAAAGAACCTTTCTGAAGTTATATTTCTAGTAAGTTTTAAAGAGTAAAAGGATACTTTATTTTTTACATGGCATGTCACATATTTATAAATGCTGTACTTAGAAACAATATTTATACATACAACTCTGAAAAGTTTTATTACTAGATTGGCTTCAAAGATGTTGTTTATAAACAAACTCCCAAAAGTTGAAAGAAAAGATTGAATGCCTTATAGAAGACAATTTGGTGAAATGTCTTATAATAAGGAAGAAGCATATGTGCCTCAATGAGCTTACTTTTCTCACCATGCAGCTGACAAGCAGCTCTTTGATTGCCTTACTATTATGATACAACTCTGGATACAATAAAGGCTACATTATTGCTCTATCATTTGTCAAGCCGTATAGAAAATTTTGAGTCAATGGATGCCACCTGTACGATATTTTCATTACCTGTTTATAAAGCAACTGCTCGTTTTCTCTAGCATAACAGAAAAGAACATCTGTAAGAATTTTTTTCACATTTTCTTGTCGGAAAAACTGCATTTCAGGAAACCTGAAAAAAGAAAACACAGAACTGAAATGACTAGCACAATTCCAAGAATTACCCTCAAACTCTCATTTCTGAGAGGTGCAAGGGCTGCTTTAGGTTTTAGTACAAGTTTGTATTTGCCATGCAACTCATGTCATTGGTGGGGCTTATATGTTAAGGTAAAAGAGATGTGAAAAGGGAAATTATTATATCACAGAGGTATATAATACCCTTCAACATCTAAATATTTCAAATGTTTTCCATATGCTTGAAGTTATCACATGATGAATACAACAATTTTTAAACAAAATGAATTACAAAATGAATTTAGGATGGGGGATTGCTTTGTTTTAGCCCATTTGGTTTATAGGACTAGAATGTGACCTTGTTATTACCAACTTTTGGAAAAATTATTATCATTTTAATATAAATATCAGGATTTAAATTATTATACATGACCACATTGTTAATTTTATCTAATTAAAATGTAGACTCAAATGGAACAAGTTAGTTAGTATTGCTTAAATGCTCTCTGGATCAAAAATTCTACCAGGTTTTTTGAGGTAATATGACATAGAAAAGGGAAGACTATGAACTTGAAAGGAGCTTAAATAGTTGTTCACAATACAACAATATACAATCATAATAAGCCAAAGAGCAAATACATACCAATGCAATACACAATACAAAAGGGAAGAGGGGATGCCATTTAGAAGTAAACAGTCAAATGGGTTCAGTCACAAAAGGTGTGAACAATAATTTCTAGAAGAGGAGGAACATGCAACATCAATGGAAAAGGTAATCAAATCAGGAGAAAATAGCTTTAAATGTCAAATTTACAATTTAGGAAATGCAACAGAGTGACTATATTTTTTTTTAATAGGAAAATAACAAAGAAAATAGTATTTGAGTAACTCTATGTGGGAATAAGCTTTAAGGAGAAAAGATTACAGGAAAGAGAAAAAAGGGCATTATAATGAAGTGAAATGGGAAAATCACAAACCTACAAAGAAAAGCCTGTGTTCTAATTCATGTTGCACAACCTTGATAAATGCCTGCTTCCTCTAGTAAGTAGGGATAGTGACCTCATGATAAAATGAGATTAAGTGAAAGCACCAAGAACAGTGTCTGGCAAGTAGTAGATGTTCATAAAAAATAAGGTCTTTTTTTTGGTTAATACTCATCTGAGGATATTTTTTTCCATTTATTTTTAGAGAAAGGGGAAGGGAGGGAAGAGGTTGGGGGGGGGCAGGACGGGGGGGGGAGAGAGAGAGAGAGAGAAAGAAAATGAGAATATCATCAATGTGAGAGAGACACATCGATTGGTTGTTTCCTACAAATGCCCCAACTGGGACCTGGGATTGAACCTGCAACCCAGGTACATGCCCTTGACCGGGGATCGAACCTGAGAACCTTCGCTGCGCAGGCTGGAGATCTAACTACCAAGTCACACAGGGCAGGGCTAGAAACAGAGGTCTTTATTAGTCTTTGAGTACTGGTGCTTTGGTGATGATGTGAATTCAGTGGCTAGAGAGAACATGGGAGACTGAAGGGAAGAATACCTAAAGCATGGAGGCATAGGGCATTATCGAAACAAAAATACTGCCTAATGAGTCTTTAAAGAGTATTATGGTTGTTTTACTTCAGATTATAATGGTTTGTTTCTGGAGATTTCAGCTGTTTTATGCTTCATTCTGATCTTCTGGAGTTACAACTTTTTCTCTAGGCTGGGTTCCTAGGTGAACTATGTGAGTGGTTTGTGAAGCATCTCTTTTCTGTTCCTAATTTTTACAATAAATTAAAGCCTATTTTATCTTAACCTGTTCATTTGACTTTTGCTTGAAACTCCCTTTGATGCACAATTGTCCCAAGAAACAGATTATTTGATTTTTCTCTAGCAGCAAGGAGGCTGCCTTTTGGGGTCCAATAATAAACAATCCATAGATCTGAGCAAGATTACTTCATATCTCTGCGTAAGCCTTAATGTGATGACCCTCTAGATAGTCCCTACTCAGCCGTGGGACTTCAACTTGGGACAAGTGACTGTAGATCCTAAAGAAGAGAAAAACTAACCTGAAAGTGGATTCAGAGAAGAATAATTTATCAGAGAAGCCAAAGACATTCCAGAAAATGTCAAATGTACCCAAGTAGGAAAGAAGAGCAAAAACTTTTTAAATGATTTATTTACAAAAGAAGTAACTAAAGCCCTTAGAAAGTCAAATATCCCAAAATAATCAGCATGAAAAGTAAGTAATTAATAAAATAACCCGTTGAGAAATTTTTTGGAAAACCTTAGTCACTAAGTTAAAACTAGAATAATCCTTCTGAAAAGTAAAATTGTTTCCCCTTCTTCCTCAATAGATGACTTAAGTCTAGCCCTATCTTTAAGTCGGCTTCATGGCCCATGATTTAGATCATGTGTATTAATGATTTTGTGTATCCTTTTCCTTAACTATTCTTTGCAAATTATCTATGTACACTGTCAAAACCAAATTCTATGTAGCTTTAGCAATCTGAATGTATTATAGGGAAAAGTACTAAAAACTGCAGCATTCACTTTGTAACAAATATTCATAAGCTATATAGTAAGAATTTAATACTGAACTACTAAAAATGTAAATTATATTACATATCAATTCATAGTTTCATTTAAATGCATACTATCCACTTGCAAGATTAAAAACTAGAGATCTACAAGAATTAAATTGCAGGTAGATAATTTAAATTGTCCACTTTTAGCAAATACCCAATCAACTGAAAATGTGTATTAGGCAGACATAGCATCTCTTTGCAGTAACACACCATCTACAATTCTCCTCTACAATGCAAAAGTGTCAATTTATGAAGTTTCATGACACTCTTTTTTAGGAAAGTATGACTTGTTCTCTAAATCCTGATGAAGAATTCATCACATCAAGTAAGTAAGGTAGAAGGATACAGAAAAGTTCTGAAAAAGAAATAAAAGTTTATGCTATTTCAGAATTTGGAAAAATAACTTAAATTAAGACAAGTTTTAAACTCACAGAGTCTTTGAAGATAGTCCTGTTAACAGTTAAGGACACTAAAACAGAGAGATGAATACCTGCCCCAATGTACCTGGGTACTTAGCAGAGTAGCAGTACTTCCAACTGCTTCACTGATCAGTTATAAATAAGTTAAAGATATGCATTTAGGTATATTCCTAACATTCTGTGAGTTTAGAGTTAGTTACAGAGAAGAACCTTGGTCATAAGGTTGATGACTATATCCAAATAACCTATTTCCTACAACAAATACTTGATTGTCATATTACCAGGCTTCAAACCAGACGACACACCACATTTAGGAATCAGAAATGAGAGGAATAAACGTACAGTGAGTAGCTTTCCTAGGAATAGTAGTAATGTTCTTGATGATATGTTTTAGGTTTCAAAAGAACTTCCCTGCCACGCAGTACACTTCTAAGCTTTTTTCGCCCCATGGCATCTGGTGTTGATTCAGAACAGGTGAAGTAATTTGCACACCAGTCTAACCTAAATACCACAGGAAAGGCAAATCTGCTTTTGAAACAATGATAAAATTCACAGAATACAGATCCAAGCTGGATCCAACAATTGTTTAGGTTTTCAAAAATCAATAGTGTAACTCTACATTTTCATGAAAAAAAAAAAGGGGGGGGGGAGAAATGGTAGTAACTTCAGTAAAAATAACATAGAGAAAAACATTTAGAATTAAAACTGTATTAGTTTATGATTCATTCAAGCCAAATATTGGACAGAAAAGTAAAAGGGAAAGAAATCACTCTGAATAGGGACTGAAGACAAATTTTGTTGTTATCAGAAAATTAAAGTCCAAGGAAAGTAATTTCTGCTTTTGGACTGAAAATGAAGATGATAAATAGATGAGAGTGAAATTCTGATAGAGATAAAAAATCAAAAAGAGAAAGTAAAATTAAAGTATTCCATGATAAAATTCACTCATACAGTGTAGATTTTTACTTGACAGAAAAAAGTGGTATTTTAGTTTTAACATAAATGATCAATACTGGAAATACAGCAGTTTCACTCTCTATATGTGAAGGACTTTACATTTTGATAAATTTTACAGACTGCAAACTAATACCAATAGATATAAAAGTATGGTATGTGTATTGCTTTGTATCTTGAAATAACCCAAAACTCATAGGCAAAATAGTTTTCATTATAAGTTTTAAAAAAATCTCTCATTATGGCCCTGGCCAGTTTGGCTCAGTGGTTAGAGCATCAGCCTGCAGTCAAGAGAGACTCGGGTTCAGTTCCCACTAAGGGCATGTACCTCAGTTGCAGTTTGTCCCCGGCCCTGGATGGGTTGTGTGGGTGGCAGCCACTCGATGTGTCCCTTTCACGTCGATGTTTCTCTCTATCTCTCTCCCCCTCCCACTCTAGCTGAACAAAAAATGGAAAAATGTCCTCGAATGAGGATAAAAAAAAAACTCTCATTATGGAAAAGTCAAATATTTATAAAGACATTATAGTAGACTGAACCCCAAATACCCATCATCCATCTTCATCACTAATCAATTCTTGTTTTGTATCTACTCATCCCTCAATGTTGCATTCTGAAGCAAATCTGAGACATCACCACATCTACAAGTGTTGCAGTGTATATCTCTCAAAGATAGGAACTCTTTAAAAACATAACCATAGTACCATTTATAACCCTACTACTACTAAAAATAATAATAATAAAATCAAGGATCCAGTCAATGTTCAAATATCTCTAAACAATTTTTAGTTTGTTCAAATCAAGATTCAAGAAAAGTCCACACATTGCAATTTGTTGACCCTTTTACTTGATAAATTTGTCCTTCCTCTCTTTTTGTTTTTAATAAGAAACCAGGTTCTTTATCCTGTAGAAACTTCCCACATTCTGAATTTTACTTATTGTTCTCCATTTTGTTATTTAATACATTCCTTTCCCCACTATATTTCCTATAAATTAGTAGTTAGGTCTATAGACTTAATCAGATTCAGGTTCAATTTTCAACAAAACTCTTCATAGGTGAT